ATCCTCAAAGGGTTAAATCCAAAAACTATTTGGCAATGGATTTAGTAAATTCAATTAAATTTTGTCAAATTGTTTGATAACTTCTATCAAGATTTAAGAGGTTGTTATTGTTGAATCATGATCTATCCGTGAATCACACCCAAGAATAGAGCATAAGACGAGAGAGAGAGAGAGAGAGAGATGCACGGTAATCAATTAGATTTTTCATAAAATAATTTCTCGATTTACAAAAGAGAGAATACAATATATAAAGTTACATGTTTGCCCCACTTTAATGAGGGTGTTCAAAGATATTTTAGATATTTTACATGTATGAGTCTATGGCTCGGCTACCCTCTGACTTGGTTGGCTGAATTCAGTGGGACTTAGTTCGGTAAGGCTTGCCCGTTCGATTGAGTTGCATCGGGGTAGTTGGTCTGCCATTGATGGGCTTTGAGCTGGGAAGACTAGCTCGATCGACTTGGCTTTGTTAACAGTTGTTCTAATCTGACTTTCGACGACCGTTCATTCCTAGATGAAGAGCTTTTGTTTGTGGAACGAGACTATGATATCGATCATAGGGTGAATCGATGTAATTAGATAGATAGCTCATCTCTTGACAAAGGGGTCCTTCGGGATATTCGTGGGCCATATTATTGTCAATTCTTAATCATTAATGAGGAATCTTAGGACCGTTCATGAGACTGTTGGTGATGTTGATCTCTTTCTCTGAATCGAGTTGTGATGATAGATGGGTTAATGTCTTCTCCCAGCTCAATTAGCTTTAGTCATTGGTTTAGGTAGTTTGCACCCAGTCGGCCTCCAGTTTCAGTTTGGGGGTTGTGTTAGGCATGTAAGTGGTTTCTTTGGTCTCACGCTAGTGCGCTCTCCTTAGTTGTACTTTTCTATCTCTTAGAACGTTAGATCTCCTCAAAATTCATGATGGCCCAATCTTGATGTACATAATTTGGTTTCTTGATTCTTTTACTTCATGAAAGAGATAGTTGCAATAAGAATAAGTGAGTTAAATGCAAAAATAAATATCATTTATGTCGTAATCAAAGCATCAATAATTAAATTTCTTGGATTTTTGTGCCCGTGATTCTTATAAAATATGATGTGATGAGATTTTTTTGTTAGTCCATATTTGCACTACTTATCATTGTCTATGTCAATCAACCTCCACACATCCCCATGGTTAATGTTTTGAAACCTATGGGGGAGACCATCTGTAAGTAAATGATGTTGGCACTCAAACTGTTCACAAAGTGGTTCCACCTCGAGGCCAAAATAACCTACAGAGAGAGAAGATGCCCAAGGGAGAAAAGGGGCCAAAGGGAGAAAAACTGAATGAGAAACTTGCTTTTAAAAGATGGAAGGCGGTGAGGCAATGGATAAAGTGACTGACTTGCTTCAAGGACTTCGACAAGAGAAGAAACAGATGAAAGATGGACGTGGGGTTGGGCTGTCTCGACGTTAGTTCGTCCCCCGAACCTTCTACTGTGGCATGTGGCCAGCCGATCAAACAACTTATGTGGGGAGCCGCTGCATCTCATTGCGCTAGGCATAGGAAGTTGTTTGTGCTCTGTTGTCAATTAGGGGGCAAAGGACTATGAACACTCCACCACACTTCGTGAGAGTGGTTTGTCGCTTGGATGGTTTGAGTTAGATCAGCTTCTTTGTGGATACTCGACCTTGTTGGTTACTTCAAAATTTTCTTTTCATTTACTATGTTGTTTTTTATCGCATCCGAGATGATATCAGTTAATGAATAGCCTTCAGAAGATACAAGCCAAGGTTCGGTCTTGATGCTAACTACGTCAAGATAGGCAATGGTTAAAGGTAAGGAGAACATGGTTAATCTCCTAGGCAGTCCCCTTAAGTCCAACAAAGAGGTGAAAAATTGATATAGAATGTCCCAAGGATTGTTGGTTTACCTTTCGGATGAGATGGAGAACCCCTTCTCTTGAGCAACAGGGATGCAACAAGAGGAAGAGATAAAGGAGTGGTGGGAGGAGTTGACGGCCCTTTGCCTATTATTGATGGAGGTCTGAGAGACATGCTCCATGCTCCGGATCCAAGAAAAGATGGATCGTGTAGATAGATTTAAGTTTACTATAGAGATTTGTATAAAATGTTGCCTCATTGATGGCTTATCTCGGTTGAAGAGGTAGACAAACTACTTGTGAAATTTTTCTCTTAGGAATAGTTTCTGAAAAATAAGTATGTATTTTTCCAATGATTATTTTCTTGAATTATGTGTTGATGCGATGGCATGTTCTCAAAATCAATGTATATTTCCTACTATGCTTGGCATTAAAGAAAAAAACCAAAGAAAACATGAATTCTTAATTGAACTTAAGGAAATACTACAAAAGAAGAGGGTTAGTATTTCAAGAAATTATTTATGAAAGTATTTGAAAGATCAATACCAAATATGTTCATCAACGAGTAGCTTAGGAATAGGTGCAAGCATTAAAATGTCTAGTATGTATGCATATAATCTAATTATATATTCACTGGCGGGTTGAAATTTTATTTGAAATGAAAAACCATGACAATCATATATTTTTTGAATGATTGATGTTATTTACATTTAGTTATTTTCCCTAGAAAATAATCAATCATGTTAATGAAACGACTTTATTCCTTAAGAATTTGTGCTTAGATTATTTACATGGCGACTCTAATACTCCAGTTATATTGGCAAAGTAGAGATCTAGAACATTTTCTCCTCTTTTTTTAACTACCTAGGGCACTTGCCAATGCGTCTACATTATCTGGCTAGTTACTAATATTTAGTAAGATGAATAGATTGTCTATTAAACCATACTTATTTCTTAATGCTATTATAGATTTCTAAGTAAATTCAAGAGAGCCATGAAGAATAAAGCACAACTCAAATGCTCAATCTATGAAACATATCTACCTTATGAGATTATTTATTTTTGCTCTTATTACTTTGAGCCACTTCCCAAAATGATGATATTGATATTATAAAATCAACATGCATATTGTTTTCTATTTTTAAGTACGCATCAAGTAAAACATCGAGTAGAAGCACTTCTCAGTACCTAAAAGAAAGAGATATCAAAGCAGTGATAGTTTTATTTTATATTAAAAGAAAATTTTATATCTTTTAGATAGACATCATATACATTTTTTATAAATATTCATATTATTTTGATTTAATATCATGCACTCCTTATAGATAATTGTCAAAGAAATCTTTTATATGATTTTTTTTTAATTGTGCCTTATCTTAAAGACAATAATTTTAGCCTTATGAAATCATAAAAACAATAGATAAAAATATTTAAATGTATTTTTAAATTATTTCCAACTAAAAAAAAAAAAAAAGAATGTAGCATATTAATTATTTGTTATTTGTCATTATGCAAATTAAATTTAATTAATTATAATTTGTCATGAAACAAAAAAAAAAGAGCCATGAAAGAAGATATGGTTCTCTCAAAATAATAATAATAATAATAATAATAATAATAATAATAATAATAATAAACCTTAACTATACCCAAAAATAATTACTTTTATCGATTAATTAATGATTCAAATAATTAATTATATAAAAAATAAGATATTTATACATATATGACCATAACATTCTTCATTTATAAATTAAACCATGAGTTTAAAATTAACTATCAATGCTCATGTTAAGATAAATATAATTTTATAAATAGAAATATTCACTTTTTAATTTAAAAATAGATAACAATTATCGTAACTTTAGTAAAAAATGATCAAATAAGTTTCAAATTTAATAGATTTTGTTGAGATGATTTTAATTAGAATTATTTCATTATTCATATATTATACTCGTATTAATATACAATTAATCATCTTAAATATATTATATGTATATTATATTTTTTTTTCTACATCTTAAGTCTAAGGAAAAAATATATTTTTCGATATACATGTAAAAAAAATTAGTTAAAATGAGCTTTGAACCCTCAAATCTATTTTGATAAATTTGCAATAAATATATAATTTATTTTGCAAAGTATTTACATATCTAACCCTTAAAATTCAATTTTTACATGTGCAAGAAAATATATATTTCACTTTTTAAATTCAAAGTGAAGTGTTATATATGCAAATACATGGGAATTAGGTGGCATGCATGTAAATGCCCCACCTAAAATAGCAAAATGATAAGATGAGGCTTAGCTTAAAGAGAGGGAAGAGGTAAATAACATAACAACGTCGTTACCCAAAGTAGGACAGAGGACGGTCGAGATGGACGGCTTATAATTAACGGCAAGCTGAGCTTCCGGTCCGTTACTCTGCTATTCATATATATATATATATATATATATATATATATATATATTCACTTTTTTATTTAAAAATAGGTAATAGTTAGCGTTAATTAAGGAAAAAAATGAACTTTGAAGCCTCGAATCTATTTTGAGAAGTGCAATAAATAGATAATTTGTTTTGCAGTAATGGTCTGTTTTGCAGAACATTTTCATGCAAATTTCATTAGGGATGGAATTAACTGTTACTGAATTTGCTTCAAGATTAGTGCGATACAAAATTTTTTATGTATGGCACTAATCTTAAAGCAAATCTAATGGGCGTCAAAGCAACAGAAAAACATAACAAAGTTATTCTGAAACCACTCTTTTAATAAAAAACAAACTTATTTTGAATGCTCGGCCTCAATAACAGCTTATTGGAAACCTCTTTTTGTTATAGGTTCAACCATTTTAAGAACTATAGTTTATGGAAGATTTACGTACAAGCAACTTAATTCAGATGTATTTTCATATCTAACCCCCAAAACTTCAATTTCTTACATGTGCATTTAAAACTCAAAATGATGTTGGTTTTTATGTGAGATAAAAAGTGTAATTTGGATGATATTATTGTAAAAAAAGTAAAATTTAGATTGTAGATATGTAAATACAGGGGAATTATGTGGTGATGTTTGTAAATGCCCCCACCTAACAAAAAGATAAGAGAGAAACAAGACAAGGTCATGGAGACTTAGCTAAATGACAGGGAGAAGCCAAGTAACATAACAACATCATCACCCAAAATAGGAAAGAGGAAGGTGGACAGTGAACAATAAACTGCGTGCTGAGCTTCCAGTCGGTTGCTCTGCTACTCATATATAGATCGGCTTTCTCTTCCTTTCATTCCATCTCTATCCTTCTTCTCCATTTGACTGAGCTCTCCCTCTCCTTCTAACCCTAAACCAGCTAGCTTCATATTTCTCCCTCTACAGCCTTCTTTACTTTCTCTCTCCTTCCCTTGTGCCCTACAATGCCCATGAACACAGACAAGAAGCAGAAGCAGGGGGGCAAGCAAGTGGGGAAGAATAAGAATCATTCTCATGTCTGCAAGCAAGAATTCAGTTGCAGAAGGAGGCTCCGCCTGCCCATGCGGGCTCATGGGATCAACTATCAACACATTTCCGACGCAGAAGAAAACCCTAATGATCACGTTCACCACCAACAACAAAGCCCAACTTCTCATTCCAACACAGCAGAAGAAGAAGATGTGGCTCACTGCCTGGTCATGCTTTCGAGCGCGACCGTCGGTCGTGTTCTTCTCATCGGCAATGGAGAGAGAGCCTCCACTTTCTCGAGGAAGGAAGACGTCAACGATGAAGAAATCCTGCCTTTGCCTCTGGTTGCGACAATATCTCGCGGCCCAAACCTAAACCCTACTTTACCTCGCCGAACCTTCCCATGCGGGTGGTGCGAAAAGGTCTTCCCATCCCACCAGGCCCTCGGAGGCCATCGTGCCAGCCACAAGAAAGTTAAGGGATGTTTCGCCGCTAAGCTCGGAATCAAATCACCCGACGACACGAAAGCGTACATTGAAGATGATAATCGCAATGCCAATCATCAAAATAATATGATTGAATCTTTTGTGTTGGCAGAAAATTGGCCCCGACAATTCCCGAAGAAGAAGAATCCTAAGGCACATGTATGCTTGGAGTGTAACAGGCAATTCTCTTCTGGCCAGGCGCTTGGAGGACACAAACGTTCCCATTCCGCCGCAGCTGCCGCCGCCGCTGCTACCGTAAACCCGATGTTCGCCGCCACCGCCACCACAGACATGGAAGTAGCAACTAGTAGCAGCATAACGAATGTAATGCAACCCCATACGCTGAATCTTCTTCGAATGTTCAGTGATTCAACTTCTATCATAGACTTGAACATGCCGGTGCCGACTGATAATATCACTGAAAGTCCGCCACAATCTGGATGGGAAATGAACCAGACGAGGAAGAATCAAAGGGCTGCTACTACGAGTGATAACGATGATGAGAAAGAGAAGGCGCCAATGGAGAATTTGGAGGAAGAGGTTGAGAGCAAGGAGGTGAACATGGCTAATCCTAGTGATCTCATGGTTGACACTGATGAGGAAGATGGAAGCTCCGAGTGGTTACAGATTGGGTTCGGATCCATGTTCCACAAACAGAGTGGTGCGGATCGGTCGTAGTGCATAAATTAAAATATGATTTTATATTTTTGTTGTTTGATATTTTCTTATGAAACAGTAGAAGTTCTTGTCTGTACATATTGTTTATTAGTCATTCTATGTAATAAAAAGAATAGAAAGATTGAAATAAATGGATGCTTGGACTAACAATTCAAGCTTGCCGTCTTACATGGGAAAATTGTTCTTATTCATTGTTGTACAAGATAGAGTTCGAGTATATTGTTGAACATAGAGTCTGGATGTATTTGGATTCGTACTTATGTATAGTTGTAAATGAACCAATGCACTCAATGAACAACTCCAAACTCAACGTTATTAAGACTTGATAATATTCGTTTGGTAAATAAACAAGCTTGAACAAATCTTCAAAACACGAATCTTAAATAAACTAAACATAAGCATAGTTGAACTTCTTTATTTATGTTCAAATGTGTGATATTAAATTCAAATTTAGCTTGTATCATATGTGATAAATTAATTAAAAAATGATTAGCTTAAAATTATTTAATTATAAATTTAATAGTAAAATATATTATATTAATTATATTTTAGATTAATTCTTAATTAGATATTTATTTTATTATTAATTATTAACTATTTGAAAACTAACATCATGGAATTCTAAAAGTGAATATCACTCTTGTTCATTCTTTTTTATTATGATTCATCTGATCGCTTTTGATTTTTCTCAATTATTTCTACAATTGATGATTAGTTTTACATTGTGATTTATTTGGTAGTACTAGTTCATTTAATTTTTTTGCTATTGTTTTAATATTTTTTTCTCTATTTTAGAGTTCATTCTTATGACAATATATCTATTATAGACACTAGATGACATCATGAGAGTTAATTCATTTGTTGATATGATTTACTTAATTATTTATTTATTTAGATTTGTAAAATTGTTATTATATTTTTATATAAAAAACTTTATACATGTTTGAATTTTTAGCTCGTGTATTTGCTTGTTTGAATATTCTTCAATTGTCATGAACATATCAAGTTCAAACATTAAAAAATTTAAACAAGTTAAGCTTGAACAAATATGAAAGATCGACACAAGCTCAAGCCGAACATGAACAACTTATAACTGTCCCAGGCCAAGTTCAAGTCATGATATATTCGGCTCAATTACAGTCTTATTCGTACTTAATATTCTCTCCTTACATGATTGTGGGTAGTTTTTTTTAAGCGTCAAACAAGATTGTGGAGAGAATTAGGGTGTGCATTATTTGTTTAAAATAAAAAAATTAAATCAAATTAATTTGATTAATTTGGATTGGTTTAAAAAATGAATTTTGGTTTTTAAAATTTAAAATTTTAATATTAATAAATTTCGATTTGGCCAATTCAATTTCGTCAAAATCATGATAGGCTCTGTTTAGGATTTATGATTTCTAGTGCATGTAATCTGTTAGAATTATTTAAATATTAATTCATTTGTGGGAATCATAAATCCTAACAATGGATAAAAGTTACGTCAGAGTGGACTGTGTTGGAACTTGTAATGTCGACGCTAGAGGACGCTAAGGTTGACAAATTATTTACAATGGATAGTTTTGACCCTAACTGCATTATTGATCCAGATTTTTGCATGGACCTCAATTCTAATATAAATTCGATGCAAATTAAATTTAGCGATGTAATATCCCCATATTAGTGTTGAATTTATCTGAGTCTAATTTGAATAAATCTTGTAGTATGATCCTCCTACAAGCTCAGGTTTTCCTCTGATTCAAGATCTTGGGTCTTTTTTTCATGAAGAAAGTAGGGCTCTATCTATAGAGTTTAGGAGTGTATCCCTTACAAATAGGGAATTGAATGACAAATACACGTTTATATGCTTGATCATATGACAAATAGGTAGATTAATATCCTTGGCCCTGGAGAGTATGGAAATGGAGCTGACTTAGTCAAGTATTATGTGTCATCTCATATGTCCCTCACAAGAGGATTTCCATCACCTTTTTAAAGATAAGGAATTCTAAGCTTCCTTATAGCTACAATCTAGACACAGAGTTGCAAAACATCATTCCTTTTGCACTTTGAAGAGAAGACTTCTAGTATTATCTTATCTAATGTCTATTTTTTATGTCCATATTTGTAAACTTATGGATGTTGTTAGTCATTTATGGGAGTTGTTGTTATAATGAGTTACTGTGGATGTTTTTCTATTATATAAATGTTTTATAAATTGTTCCTTACTCAATGAACAAAATTTTCAGTGACTAAATGTAGAGATATTATATGCATCTTGTTTTTCAACGTGATGATGACTAGATGACTTGAAAATAACAACTTCATTTAAATGTGAATTGTGAAACTCTTTGAGTTGACACTAACTATAAAACTAAATCAAATAAAAAACTTTCAAATCAAAATAAAAAACTTCCAACGAGAAAAAAAATTTCAAACCAAAACATCAAAAGCTTTAAAAAACAAAATAAAAAACTTTCATACCACATCAAAAAGCTTTCAAAAAAAAAAAAAAAAATCAAACCAAACATGATTAAAAAAAAATTAAAAAAATCAAACTAAGACATCAAAATCTTCCAAACAAAAACATATTTTATAGGGTTATGATGTGCTTACCTGTCATATTTCTAAAAAGAAAAATTTTAGTTGAAGATAGTGCATTAAGTGAATAATTAGTGATTTTCTTACCTATAAAATATTATGAATGTGGAGGACTACTATAAAGTTAGCATGTCTAAATTATAAGGGCTTTTCAAAGGCATCTACTTTTAAGAAATGGAAGAAAAGACTTGTTGCTTGATTGTTACTAGATGTTCCGGTCCATTGATCATGTGTTCAGAAGAATTAAGGATACATTTACTAAAAATAGATTTGAAAAATGTAAGCATCCACCAATATTGAGTGCATATTAATTACGATTAAAAATTATCTCAATTCAAAAAAAGATTAAAAAAATTTAGAAAAAAAAAACTAATTTGCCCATGTTATCGAATAGTAGTAGTTTCAATAATTGGGTTCACGGGTTGGGTTTGAGTTTGACCTAAAGTTCACTCCATACAAAATTGCTCGACTAAAACTCGACCTAAATATTAAATGGATCAAAAATCCTAACCCAAACATAACCCACCTTCAACTCAACTTACCCAAACTCGACCCACATAACCCCTTGAATATATGCATAATAATCAGTTATATTTAAGTCGAGTTAGGTCAATTTTAAGTCAAGTTTGGCTTAAATTGGGGTTGATGAGTCAAATTCAGGTCAATTTTTGATTGGTGGGTCAATTCTAGGTTAGTGGTTCAAGCTAAATCAGATCTCAAAAATTAAATATGCTTATATTTTTTACCAAAATTCGACTCAAAAATAAATAGGAACAGCCCTAACATTATTTTTATGAGCTAATTAGGATTGAGCCTAGTTGGTGTGCAGCAAAGGTCAATTTTTTATACCTCTTTCTAATAATCAACTTCAAGGTTAAGGTGTAAATTATAATTAGACAAATTAGAATATTTTTTGTAATCTATAATAAAAATATATAAATTCGATTAGACATAATCTCAATATGATGTCATGGAGAAGAACTTTTGTGATAATCTATTACACACTATGATAGAGATTAAGTGAAAAATTAAAGATAATATAAAAGCTCTATTGGACTTAAGTAAGTAGTAAAAAAAGAGTAAGCTCCAAGAGATTCTTAGTAAAAAACTTTTGAAGCTTAAAACCAAAATGATGTCTCGTGTTAGAACATTAAAGCATTTATTTAAGATTAATAAAGTTATTTGACATGAAATTCATGGCTTTCATAATTTTTTCAAGTGCGTGATGTAATGTATGCATTTAGCATTTTAGCCAAAAAATAATCAAACATTTAATTAAAATGGGCTATTTCTTTAAGGATCTGAATTTAGCTCTTTTGAATTATAAATCTGAATACAACTTACAATGAACATTCTAGCTCTTTTGAATATTTGAAAACAAAGTATATTTGATCATATTGAAGATTTTTTAACAAATTATAAAGAAAATTGTTAAGAATGAAGCATGCCTCAAAGGCTTAATTTATTTCAAGTTTAAAAGAGAGAAATATGTCCATATTCAACTTAGACTGGTTCACTTTAGTTTCTATTAGGGGTGAAAGAGTGCATAAGTTATATGTCATAACCAAGTTAAACTTAGTAAAACATATGTAAATTTTGATACATTTACTTCATCATATCAAGCATTGCAACTGTCCAAAATTCTTTGGTTGGCGACCTCCCTTTATGTCAAACTTTCTAGCATCTTTGTCCATCAACATTTCTCTGCATTTTTGCAGCGAAAATTTTATCGTCTATGGTATATCTACTAGTAACACAGTTTTGTGGAAATTTTTCTCTATCAAAATGCATTTTTTTTACCAAGGTTTTAGCCTTGGAATGTTATCCTTCAATATTTTGCCAATAATTAAGTTTTTTTTAAAAAAAAAATTATGATTTTTAAATGGAAAGTACCATAGAAATATTAGTATTATTTTTTTTTTTTGTAGTGTTCTTTTCTTCTTACATAATGAATCAAAGCTGAGTCAAAAATATAGCAGGCGTGATTTTTCATTCCAAAGTTTTTTTCAGCACCCAAATCAACACAACAATTAAAATTCAAAGCATGTCCACTCGGGAATTTTAGTTATTTGAGTCACTCATAAATTATTCTTCGTTGGGACAAAGTGAGTGAATATTATGCTTTGGCCTTAATGAACTTACCGACAACAGTTTCTTGCATCTCCAACTTCGGCATTTTGCATATCTCCTTCAAATCAAGTCTGACATTCATGTTATTTTTCATTTTTTCATTAACATCCATCACAGTGTTGAAGATATTATTATATAACTTTTTTCTATGTGCATGACATCCAAATTATATCTGATCGTGTTATCCTTCCAATAAGGCAGATCCCAAATATTAATTTCATTGTCCAATTATGAGTGATACCAAATCTGGATGGATGATGTGAAAAAGGCTCAAGGCATACAATATTCTTTGGAATGGCACTAACAATCTGTATTATATCTTCCTCAGATATTCTTGAAGGTGAAAATGATTTCTCAATTTTGTTTCTTCAGAATGCATTCATGTTCCTTCTGAAGAGGCCTTCGACATCTAGAAACATACGATGACAGTCATACCATGAGTTCTTCCTGTCCTGCTGTTAGATTAATTTATTTAATATGGGCAGACTAGATTTCCCGTTGTGCTCCATCTAGATAATATTTCATATGCAAGAAAATTATTTATTGTCCACATTAATGTTGCTTTTGTCAATTGTGTTTCCTAGAGACGTCGTACGTCATGACACCTATTTCTCAAAGAATTTGCAGCTCATCTATTAACGGTTGTAAATATACATCAATCCTCCCTTTAACGCTACTGGGACCAGGTATAATCAGATTCAAGAAGAAGAATGGGGTTGTCATGCACATCTCAGGTGACAAATTGTATGGTGTAACAATCACTGGCCAATAAGAGTAGGGCGGTGCAGTCTAATCGTATGGTCTGAAGCTATCATAGCAGATATCTGGCTGGAAATTACCTGCCTCCGCAGCAAACTCGGGATATGAGCAATAAAAAGATTTTCATGACTCCCCATCTATTGGATGACTAATTGTGTCGTTTTCTTTTGATATGTTTTGATGTCATGTCATATGTGGAGCAGTACGCATAGAATTGTATAGCTTATGTGGACGTGGAATAAGTGATAGATAAAATAGCTGCTTGAACGAAACTTCATTCTGCTTCTTACTTTGTCTGCTCTGAGGTTTGAATCTAGGAGAATTACAAATCTTCATTGAGCCTCCACCGCGCTACTATTGTGATATAGCATACATTTATTTACACAACAATCAATCTTTTTTGCTTTAAGCCCTAACTTGGAGACCAACTTTTTCATCCTGTATAAATCTTCAGAACTAAATTTTTAGGTGGATTAGTCTCTTTTGGCTGGCCTGCAAACTGATTGAAGCATTTTCGGGGAATGTTACACTTTGTTTTGATTTTTAGCATTCTAGAGCTACAGATAACTCAAAATGAGATGTGCAACCATTACATAGTAACATTTGAGTAGCATTCAATAAATCATAAAACGTCTGAGCCTCAGGATTTGGTGTCTCTTCCTGCGGCACTTGGCTCGCCTAACGATGTCTTATTCCATCAAATAGCATCTCTTTAAATTTGCTTGAGCCAAATTAGGTGGAGGATCATAACTTCTCGAAAGAGTGGAGTTGAATGTTATAAGATCAACCTCCCCATGTGAAGTCAAAATCCAATAATATGACTAAAATCCCTGATCATATAGATCACATTTCACTTTGTCGGGAGTTAAGTGTGCTCGATTTTTTTGTTTCGAATATGGACACTAAAACCTACTCTCATATATATAAACTGACAATTAAGATGCAGCTGCCACAAATTCCTCGACACTGTTCAAGAACCTAGGCGTTTCATTTTCTATTCGGATAAAGTCTGTTATATATCCACGATCTTGATGTACGGATATCTATGTGTACCTTCAAACATGAGAATAATGAACACATTATAAAATGCATTCAAATAAATACATTGTATTTAATTATTTTAGTAGATTTACTGAATGAGTGGTAACAAAAGGTGATGAAAGCTGATCATAATCAACACATGTTAAATGAGCGAACGTTTTAGATAGTTTTGAAGTCAGAAGTTAACAGTCTACTAAGGATGTTAGGGTTGTCGAAGACCGAATATTGACGAACATTCATCCAAAATTTCCACTAATCTTGGTTGTCATTGTAGCTATAACAACCCTTTCGCAAGTATATTTTTTTCACATTTTCTCTACAAGTGTAAAGCTATTTATCCATCTAAGTATTCTTATCTCAACAACTCTTATTAGGCTACTTTCACATGATGTTTTACGAGTTTAGTTAAAAATTACGGGGACAATTATGATTGGCTCTTCACTTGGAGACAAAATATGATAGAAATATATGTTTGAAGGCTAGTGTAACTATGGTGGCATACAATATTAGATGGAGTCGTCCTAATGGATTGAAAAACAATGTTCAACCAATAATGATCTTTGAAGAAACTAACAATACTAAAATGTCAAACGGTCTGAGTTGTAGTATATCTGATATTGTCTGTCACCATAGCTACACCAAATCTTACACGAGTTTATTTCTTTCGCATTTTATTTTCCAAATGGAAAGCTAATCATAGCCTAAACATAATATTCGTCGCTAATCCCATACATGATTGACTGCACATTTGAAAATATGTTCTTAGAATGAGATATTTCATAAGATGTAAAAGTTTTCACTGCATTCTCTAGTGCGAACTCTAATTTCTACAACTAGAATGAAAATTCACATAGAAATCTAAATTATCAGTTTCAAAATAATAATTCACTTTGAAATCTAATTTGCATTGCCAAAATGGGAACTGCAGCAATGAAATTTAGCTTTTGATGTAAATTTCCATATTGGAACTGATAAATTAGATTTCGAAGTGAATTTTCATTTTGGTTGTGTAAATTAGACTTCACATTAGATGATGCAATGAAAACTCTTACAATCTTATGAAATATTTCCCTCTAAGAATATATTTTCAGGTGTTCATTCAATTGCGTAAGGGACTACGACGACGAGCATGTTTATTTCTATAATTGGTTTTATAGTTGAAAACAAAATACGAAACAAATATGTATGTGATAGGGTTGTAATAGCTACAGTTGCAGACAATATTAGAAGAAACATCATAGTCTAAATAAACCTTTTGAATAACATCTTTTTAATACGAAACAATAATTATCGCTAAAAAATTAATTGATTTTAATTTTGGCTTGAATTTTTTTAGAGCTGACAACAGTTAAGCTTGAAATCAGAAAGTTGGCAGCATACTGGGTTGTTAGGGCTATCAAATATCAATAATCGGCGAATATTTATCAATATTTTATTTCTAATCTTGTTTATCACCATTGCTTCACTAACTCATTCACGGGTATATTTCGTTCACATTTTATCTGCAAGTGTAAAGCCAGTGATTCGTATGGGGTATGCAATTGGTTTTTTACTTGGAGACAAAATATAAAACATATATATATATATAATAAGATGTTAAACGATCCAACTTCAAGCTGAAATGATGTAAGTTCCAACCAATCAACTTGAGATTTACTAATTAATCACATCCTCATTTATATCACTGTCACTTTGAAAGTCCCGAGATATTTAGAATCTTCACACCTTTTTAATGATTTGATCACACGTTATTACAACTTCGTCAGTAGAACTACTACTACTAAAATTACATTTCAATTATTCATTACTAGATCTACTCAAACGAAGGACTTTAGATTCCAATATCAACCTCCTTAATTTAAGTTTTTCCTAAAATCTTTCACTAGTCTTATCCACATGTACTTCTTGATTTCTCTTATAAATAATCAATCTTAAATAGTCCAAATCTCTAATTTATTTTATAAAAGAGGGTTTCATTGAAAATGAACATTTTCATTTATTCTATAAATTTATATGAAACAAAAAAAATGCTAGGCATTTTAGTGTGTTGGTTGAGAACTTAGACTTTCAACTAAGAGGTCCTCGATTCAACAACTTGTGTATGAGACACGTGTACATTGAAGATTAAATTCACTCAAATTTTCAAAAAAAATTAAAAAATTTGAGAACAAGAATAGATAATTAAACCATTTGGAAAGTTATTCAGATGTACAAGGGTCGGTGAAATAATTAACAATACAGATTAATGATCGTATAATGAACATAAAAAAATTAGGTTAAAAGAGGTCTCTCAATGCCCTCTTCTTCATCATGGCCGGTTGTTTCCGTTGGGTGTTGCTGATCGACAGCATTGGGAACCCCAAAACCTTCTTTCTCCTTCGCCCATAAAACCATATACAGGCCAAGAAACATTGCCAGCATTCCTACCAAGCTGATCATATACATAAATCAATAGAACTCATTAATTAGCGATTATTCAATCTTAATTAAATATCAAATTTTGATAATTAAAGCTAAATTCTGACTTCACAGAAGTCAACAACCAATCCAAGGTTATGTTTCTCAACATTACAACTATTTGGCTAGACATTTTTCGTGGTTTTCAAATAATAATAATAATAATAATGGTAATATTAAATACATACCATCCTATTCCTTTGTATTGACATATCTAACACCTACATTTTATTTTACATTTATACCGCCCAAATCCTTCATGGCACATCAAAATTACCATCATTTTAACTTTTCAAAAGTGAAATAAGCTTTTTCATGCATGGGTACGGCAGTTTGTATGTAAAAATTGAAAATTTATGTGTAGATATTATGTACATACATAAGAATTGAGTGGAATGTATGTAAATATTCCAAAAAAATATATATTTTATAATCAAATCCACTAAAGTTGGTGGCTGTATAAAGCCCTTGTTTGGCTTTTTAACATAGAAGAAAAACAACAGTTACCTTTCAAGCCTGACCACTTGGCCAAGAATTATTGCCGAAAGAACAGCAGAGCAAACGGTCTGGATGGGACTAAACATGGAGACCATGACTGGCCCCTTCCTCAGCACAGCCCAGGTTTGAAATGCAACACAGAGTGCAATCAACATTCCTCCCTGCATATCAAATTATCTTTATTTTTTATAGTTTAGGACCTCTGAAAACAATTAATTAAACTTCACTTCTCATGTAAAAAGAATGAAGATTAAAATTTCACGCAGTAGGTGGGAAGAAAAAGGAAAACCAGAAATGCTATTTTTTTTTTCCTGGATCATATATTGACAAGGACTTTCACATGCACCACCAGCACACAAATATTACGTGACTATTTATTTCGGAAATATACATGCATTCCACACAATTCTTATGTATTTATTTACAAATCTAACACCTATTTTTTCATAAATATATTTATAATGAAAGAAAAGAGTAAAAATAGTCCACTTGCTCGATGATTGTTTTAGTCTCAAGCTCTATAAAAGTGTCAAAATAGTCTCATGATTCTTTACGTGGGAACTATTTCAACTCATATTAAGAACATCACTAGACTAAATTAACTCTTTTATAAACTCTGAAACTAAGTCAGATGACTACTTGACACGTCTCTTTATAATATTTTTGTGACAAACTTATGCATGAAAAATTGTATTTCACTTTCAAAAGTTAGCAATATTGATAACTTTTTATGTAATATAAATTAGTCAAGTACAAAGCATACAAATATACTTTTTTACGTTAGATATGTAAACAGATAAGAACTATGTGGTAGATATGCAAATGCCCCTAATTATTATGTTTACTCAAATCATTTGAGCAATTAACAAAACCAACCCTCAAAATGAGATAATTGTGTAACTTTAATGATTTGGTGGCTTGTATTGATTATAAATGTTTGTGTGCAAGAGTAAAAAGAAAATATATGTACCAGCAAGACAAAGGAGATAATGGCTTGGATGCTTATAATTGGCTGACCGAAATCAAGCTTTCCTTCTGTGATGAATTGAACAACAGCAGTAAGAATTGCGGCCACCAAAGATGTTACAGCGCACAAGGAGAAGGGAGCCGGGAACTCCATCATTGTAGCAGCCTAAAAATGTGCAGAATATTTTCTATAATGATATCTCGTGGTTAGTAATCATAAAGACTGATGCAAAAAGAAAAAAAAATAGTACATATGAAGTTTCTGGCTGAAGTAATAGTTATTTGTATATCTATTAAAAGATTAAAAAGAAATTTACATGCATACCACCCAATTCCTATATATTTACGTATCTAGCTCATAAATTTTACTTTTTTACATTTATGCCACCAATCTTTCATATCGCATAAAAAATACCACCATTTTGGTGTTATGTATGTAAAAATTGAGATTTAGGTGTTAGGTATGTAAGAACATAGGAATTGAGTGGTATGTATGTAAATATTCCAAGATTAAAAATTCAGGTAAATATTATCATTGATCATTAATGTAGAGGATACAGCTATCAAGAAGAACCTCACAATTAGAAGCAGGAAAGAAGAAAGAAGAAAACTAGATAATAAATCTCCTAAATGACATAACTGAGCACAATCCATGATAGTGGAGCCATTCGAAATGATAAAATTACTTTTTAAAATAGAAAAACATATTTTCCTAAAGGATAAATAATGCAATTCACAAATAATTAACTTGGAAGAAAAATAGGGGGGTCTGTTCTGTCCTAAAGGACAAATAGTAAAGTTTGGTGTTAGATATGTAAAAACATAGGGATTGGGTGTAAAAAAAGAAAAATAAAATGTCCTCTTTCTGTGCCATGCATGAATTAAACAATCCTATGGGACTAATTCTACAATAGAGCAAATGAACTACTTTAGAATAATAACACATAGTCGGCTACTGCAATACTCAGAAAACGCCTTTTTTTTTGGGGG